AGATATTGTATCTTTTTGTGTGCCTATACACACTATTCTATGTGATATGTATATACACAAATGGCATATACATACATACATACATACATACATACATACATACATACATACATACATACACACACACACACACACACACACAAAATTAAATAGCGTATTTTGGATGTTCAGTAATAGTAAATAAATAGACAGGGAATTTGTTAAGGCCTGTGAGGCGAGGCAAGGCACCCCTTGATGTGAGTGACATCAAGTTGGCCCACCCAATCACGACCACCAAGCCATGCCCATCGAGTCACATGACCACCAAGCCATGCCCACCAAGCCACGCCTGCAGAACCGATAGTAAAAAATTTGAATCCCACCACTGAGCTGCAGAACTGATAGGTGTTTGGCTTTCAGAATAAAGGAGCATCCAAAATGGGTCCAGACAGTGTTGAGTATTCCAACAGCAGCAAATCATGGCCATAAAATGCCTTCTTCGGCCATTGTGAGACACTTACTATCTACAGACCACCAAGTGGATCCAAACTCTGCGTTTAAAATTTTCTTGCACCATAGGAATTGTTTCCTGCGGTTTGCTGAAGTGGTTGCCATTAACCGTTAGCAGCCTCCCTTGTGCATGCAGAAATGGCTTTAAGTCAATCTACACCTTCTGTGGGCGCAAGGCTTGCCACTAGTTGCTTTCCTGCATACTTTATAGGCTTAATTAATGCTCTTGCTAGATCTTATATTTGAGGCTGATTTTAACCGTGTTATTGCAATGTAGATACTGATGAGTCAATACAAAATGCTTGCATCTACCTCTTTTTGTATCTTGGCTGCATTGTTTAAATTATTAAAAGGGACTAATTATTTTAACTTTCATTTTCATAATATATTCTTCACTAGGTGTTTTTTAAGCAAATCTGAAAGTTATAACTGGCTTAAAATGTATCAGTATGTCTTTTATTTGTTCATTTTCCATTTTCAAATTCAGTAAGGTTATATACCTTAATTAATTTTTCATCAAAGTTCATCAGTGTGTGATCAAAGGATACTTGTCCTTTATAGAAACCGTACTTTTTCATGTCTGAATCATATTTTGATTGCTACAATTAGGAAAAAAATTGGCCATGATATAGAACTAGAGAAATGGCAAAACGTATGGGAAAGGAATTATAAAATAACAATGGAGATTTCTCATAAAGAAAATCTATATAAAATGTTTAATAGATGGCATCTACCACATGCTAGATTAGCTAAAATATGTTAGCTAACATGTTTAAAAATATGTCTAATAAATGTTGGAAATGTAACCCAAAAATGGGCACATTTTATCATTTGTGGTGGACTTGTGTCAAAGCAAAAAAAAAATTAAAAAACTTGATAAGAAAAGTATGTATTTAATATCACATGTCTTAACAGCAGCAAGGATTATTTTTGCACAATATTTAAAAAATGAATATATATCACGACGTGAAGAAATAGTCAAGAAGATACTAGATTGTGCAGAAATGAATACATGGACATTGAAAATTAAACAGAAAGAGGATGTAGGAGAATATTATCAAACATGGAATTTATTTTACCAATGGTTGGAAAAAGGGTGCAGATTAAGAATGTAATTTGGATTGTAACCAAATTATATACTCAGACAACATGATGTTTATTAAGTACTAAGAATTGTATTTAATATAAAATCATTAAAAGAAAATAAAGAAATGTATCAGCATGGATGGCTAATTGCAACTTTTGGGGATTCCATAGGAGTGCTGTGTTTAAATCAGTGGTGGGATTCAAATAATTTAACAATGGTTCTCTGCCCTAATGATTGGCTGGGTAGATGTGGCCGGGTGGGCATGGCCAACTTGACATCGCTCATCACACCCAGCCCCGTCTCCCGGCCACTTGTCTCAAAGGCAGAGGTAGGATTCAGCAGGTTCTGACCAGTTCAGGCTAATCCCACCACTGGCTGGATCCACCCCTGCCCATTTTTTGGCCCGTTTTGAAGCCCACAAGTCTTAAAGTTGCCAAGGATAGTTACCCCAAGATAGATAGATAGTTGTTCTAATAGGTCAGTGTTTTTCAAATTTGGCAACTTTTAAGATGTGTAGACTTCAACTTCAGAATGCTGTCCTGGCAATGTCTACACATTTTAGGATTGCACGTTTGAAAAACCTTGTCAAAAATGGGCAAATTAAGATCCTTTTTAGCGATCTGTATTTTGGTCTCCTTTTAAAAAAAAAAATTACAGATTATCCTGAGCAGCATATCTATGAAGAAGATTCTAATAGAAATATGCTTTATGCATAAAAATAAAGAAAGGCACCTAAGGATCACTAATCTCCCCATCTTCATGGACCATAATTTATGAGAAGTTCACAATGATCTCAACAGAAGCTTTCCTCAGCTCTGCTTTGCTTGCATATGCAATAGCTATGTTCTGTCATTAAGCTATCATCATTCTAGCCCAAAAAATAGACACAAAGTTCTCTCAATCACAAGAATTGTTCTCCATTCTCTTTATTTATAGTATGGGACCCTAAAAATAGATACAAAGTTCTCCCAATCATAAAACTGTCCTCCTCTGCCTTTATTTATATTCTGGAATAATCAGATAATGAGGAAAACTGAGCAGAGAGATACATGGGGAGACATTATTATTGATGTGATTTATCCTAGAACTGTTATAACTGGAAAAAGGGACTTTTACACTGATACTTCCTTCCCTATCCCACCCCATTACTTTTTTTGGGCGGGTCTCTTTGTTTTCCTCCATCCTTTCCTTGATTTCCTTCCAAAGAGTCTGCTTGTTGTCCAAATAAATGTGCTAGAGACAGATGTGTGTTTTAAAGCACAACTTGTTTTGCAAAGAGATGTACACTGGTGTAAGGAAAAGGTCCAAGTTGGGTGGAAGGATTTTTGACCCTCTTTCAAGTTTATTTTCTCAGAATTGGTTCTAAAACTGGACATAAAGTTTATTAGTACTAAAATTGTAATTGGAGCAAAGAAGGAACCAAGGGGCTTTAGGAAGACAACATTATGGCAATTCAAATTTTGATGAAATTTTTTGTTCCCCTTATTTTCATATGTTGGCTTTAAATCAACCCAAAGGCATTACATTTATTCAACATAATCTATATATGTGGTATAGGAACTTTTTTTTCCACAAAACATTTTTTTTGCTATAGTCCAGGTGTTACTATGCTTATACTATTTCATATAGTATATACTATACTATATAATATACTATTTCATATGCGTAATCATCCAAATTCAGAAGGGGGAATATGTTTTGGGGTGAAGACTCACTTTGTGTTTGCCAGCAAATGTTTAAAAGATTTGTGCAGCGGGGCAGGAAAAAGCACAATGGATGTGAGGTATTGAGAGGCCTGAAGTGTGAGCCCACAGAAGCTACGAATTCCTCTTCCCCTTTCAAATCCAGACTGTTGTACAGCTTCAAGAGAGGTAAATGAAGATTTGAAATCAATTTTTTTGGGGGGAGCTGTTTTGGGGCCATCTTCTGGGCCATTTTTGGTCATTTTCCAGCCTGTTTTTTGGACATTTTCTGGCACATTTTTTGGTCATTTTGGATTCCAAGCAGCCCCAAAAATGGCATGAAAATGGCTGAAAAATGGTCCAAGAAACGGCCAAAAACGGCCCAAAAAGCAAGCAATCAAACCAGTAGTGGGATTAGACAGTTCACTGAACTGGGCAGTATTTTAACAACCAGTTCGTCCGAACTAGTCCAAACCGGCTGAAGCCCACTTTTGGTTTAAGTACCATATTTTTTTGAGTATAAAACGTGCCCTTTCCCTCAAAAAAAGAGGATGAAAATCTGGGTTTTATACACTGAATACAGCATTTTTGGTCTCCCAAAACACCACCCTGCACATCCCATTTTTCACAAAAACGGACATGCAGAGAGTTTGAGAGGCCTGCAAAGTGTTCCTGGGGACTGGGGAGAGCAAAAACAAGTGAAAACAGGCCTGTTTTTCACAAAAAAATGGGTGGATTTGCCCTCCCCAGCTTCCAGGAGCACTTTGCAGGACTCCCAAACTCTCTGCATGCCCTGTTTTTCACATAAAATGGGGTGTGCAGAGGGTTTGGGATGCCTGCAGAGTGCTCCTGGGGGCCGGGGAGGGCAAAAACTTTTTTAAATTTACCTCTACAAAATCTTGGTGAGTCTTATACTCCGGTGCATTTTATAATCCAAAAAATATGGTAGCTATGTTGACAACCAATTTATTTTCGTCTCTGTAAAAGGCATAGGGAATGGCTTGACAGATAGGAAATGATGCTATCAAGGCAATGGTCAGAAAAGCAGAGCTTGAGCCTAGGCCAGGAAAATAACTTAAGAAAACAACTCAAGAGAAACATTCTTCATTTCACATAGAATTAAAGGGTGAGGGAGAAAGAAACATATTCAGACTTCAGCAAAATTCTGCTACTATATCCATGACAATAAAAGTTGTCCTGGTTTATATGGGATTATTTCTTAGTCTGGTTTATTTTATAAGGATTTAAGTTCATTTTAGCTGCCCACTCTGGTATATAAAGTCTTGTATGGTTTAGGTATTCATAAGACCTCCTTCCCATGTACAGACATTTTTAAATTTTGGAGTGAGACTCCAACCATGCAGTCTTTATGAAATAATAGTCTCTAGTATGAACAGCAAATTATGATTTTTCTGATATGTAACATGCTAAATTGTCACTGAAGTAGAATCAGTCTCTCTTCTTTATTGGACTTTAAATCTTCTCTTTTTACTCAACTGTTTCAGCTAAAAGTTTGGGTTTCTTGTAAACTACCTAGAGCCATTAATGTGGACTGCATTTCAATCTATCAATTCTTCAATCATTCATTCTTATCTTAATCATAATGCTGAGTTTCAGTGGCATGGCAACAAAAACTGCTGTATGAAGTGTACACAGAAGAATAAATTAAGTATAAATGTTATATTATTTTGAACACAGTATTTTAGGTTGCAATAGTCATATGGTAAATAATTTGTACTTACAATGTCAAACTTTTGTGTGATGTTTCCCTGGACATCTAACAAATAAACTTTGCCATAATGTGTTCCAAGTGCCAAAAACTAAATAGAAAAAATGGGAGAAATACATTATCCAGAGAAATTAGAATAGGGAGCGTACAATATACCATTTGCTTGTGCTAAATATTACTGTGATAATCTATATCAAGCATGAATCACATCATTTCCTGAACAGTCCTGAAACCTATCCAAAGAGTATAACAGCAAAATACAAATGGCATCTAAACAAGGAGTCAATATAAAGCAAACACTTGAGAGTGAAATTGTAAAAATGTAAAACTGTCACTTAATGCATTCTTGAGCTCTTAAAACCTAGACAAAAATGAAATATTGCTATTTCAGCAATAGAAAAACCAGTTCTTCTGGCCCTTGCTATATCTGATCTTTAACTTTCAGAGGAATATTCATATAACCAGATGGACTGATAATACCGCATAATAGTTGTGACAACATTGGAGTGTACACCCTACACTTCATTTCTGTAAAGAATTAGAAGTGAAAGCAGCAGCAGCAGAATCACAACAACAACAACAAAATAGTAAAAATAGTTACAATTTTGTGACATTTCTGCTTGCAGATATTATGAGATTTTTGGCTTTTTTTACCAAACTATGTTTGTATGTATTATAAAACTGTGGTGTTGGGTGGTGTTGGGCAAGTCAATCTTTCTTAGTCCAACCCACCTCATGGGGTTTTTCTGAGGAAAATAGGAGGAAGAGTATGTTTGTTTGCCTCAAGTTACTTATAAAGTAATAAAGGCCAGATTTTTTTTTAAAAAAAGATCTTTTTCTTTCCATGACTCTATTTATATAGTGAAGCCAAGTGAATTACTGTTCTCAACAAGCAACTATATTATTTTTACAAGTCTAGAAAACTATCTAAGCCCTATTTTTTTGAAAATGTCAGATCTCTCATTTAGCAAACCAGTCAAAAGTGAACAGTCAACAGGAGAGAGTTTTGCATTGCAAATTACAAAGTCTGCTCTGGTTTTACAGGCACAACTTTTAGACGCAGATAGTTAGGAGCCAGCCTAGGGGAAAAGACAAATCTGACTGAAAGGTGCATAAAAGATATGTGCTGCATACATAGAATACTCAAAATAATGCAGAAGAGATTTAGGTGTTATTTTATCACAAAGATTAAAAAACAGATTTAAAATATATCAAAAAGTTTGTTACTGCTTGGTATAAAACAGAGTGCCTTTCCTTCCTTTGGCATTACTGAAGTGGTCAGACTGCTAAATTCTCTGTATTTCATTGCATGTGAACACGCTTCATTGCAGCCTATAATGAAATGCTCAAATTTACAGGCACTACTAAGCATGTCAGTCAAGCAGCACAATCTTTTTTTTTAATAACCTTACAGAAAGTCAAGGTTTAAAAGGATTTATCAAAATGGAATTGCTTAAAATGAAATTTCAGTTCAGGCACTTAAAATATGAAGCCACAGTAAAGAGAAGTCAAAAAAGGGAGAAAGAGAGGCAAAGAGAGAAGGGATTCATTAGAAATTCATCCCCTGCAATGCCTTTCACTCCTGCAAGGTTGCCTTTTTACAGAAATAAAAAAGTCTCTTGGGTTAAAAAAAAATCAATGTAGTTAATAAAACATCAGGTGTGCAGACATAACTAGGTATGACTATTCCACTGCACAGGCCTACTTGAATGCACTGGGTGCCAGGACGAATAGTCATCCAATGCAGACAGCAGGTCCAGTGAAAATATGTTTTATCATTGGGTGGGGGTGGGGGGACACTTATGGAGGAAAAATAGTCTAAATGTAAACCAGATTTTATAATTTGAACAATGTAAAATGTTCTAATCGTAAAACACATCTATTGTAGATGCTACAGTGTTATTTCTTTTTATTTACTCATAGAGCAAGATGTAGGAAAGATACACATTCCATCTTCAATTTTTAGCCTCAGCATTGTGCAAGACAATTCCTAAAAGACTTTGTATCAGCTTCTAACATTATTGATCATCTCATAAATAGTCCAGTTTATAAAAGTGCTGTTACTAGAAACTACTTTATTATTATGTTGTTGCTTGTGACACTATAATTAGGAGACTTCCAAATATAGAAACACTTTATATTGTTTAAGACATTTTCTTCTTTAAAAAGGTAAATACCATACCTCCAGACTAAACATCAAAGCCCAAGAAACCTTTACAGAACTAATGATAATTAACAAGTACAATAAGTGAGCATCTCCCATCATAATCAGCAGGTGCATTAGAGATAGGTTGCTGCCGGATCAGCCAAATGAGTAGTAGCAGTAGCAGGAGGCTCCGCCCACTCACCCAGACACTTCTCCACACTCAGGAGCATGCCTGAACTAGTAGTAAAGAAATTGGCAATCCACCTCTGAGGTGCAGGCTAAAGGGAAGTAGAAAAGAGCATTTCCTTTGTTGAAGTACAATACAAAAATGTATACTTGATAAGCATCCATGGATATTTAATAATATATATGTAATATAACAATTGAATAAGTATTCAATATTATTGAATAATAATATATATTGTACTTCTAGACTGCCAATCTCCTTCAAGAAGGGGCTCTGGGTGGTGTACAGTATAATATAAACATAAAACAGTACATAAATTAGAATTAAAATGTTACTCTGGGATTAATTAAAATTACAAGATTATAAAAATATAGCAAATTCAAAAAACAAAATAAATTCAAAGAAGGCAATTAACCTTGTTAAAACTGGTTAATGATGGCAGAGGGAGGGCTTTCATGGCACATAACTTGTATATGATTTTATTTAAGGATTTTGTTTGTCTTTTTTACAAAACATTTTAATGCTATTTCTCTCACAACATTCATTTTACAACTTGAATTTTTTAAAAAAACACTGCATCACCAATAATTGTATTTTGCAATTAAATCTCAGCAGCATGATCCTGTGAATGAATACAAGGAGACAGATGAATGGGCCCAAAGAGTGGCACAAAGCTTGAACAGTCCACATTTTTAGAGCCTCTAGGATAATTCTTTGGAACACCTGTAACTAAACCTTGATAGTGTGAATATTTGAAAAAATAGAAAATATAGAAATATGTAGCACTCTGGCTCAATCATTATTTGATTTAGAAACTTTCACATAAATTGCTTGAGAGATCTACATGTAAAAATTACTTCCAGGGTAACTTTTCATTCCATGAAGAGTTGAAAAAAATCCCCACTATTGCCATCTATTAATTATATTTTGATTATGTACTACCTACGTGAATAATTATAATATAATTATAATTACAACATCATAATATAACTTATGTAACATTCATGAAACTTCAGTTAAAATGAATGAGAGAAAACTTAAAATACTTTGTTCAAGCAATGGAACCTTAGATTAATGAAAATAACTCACTGCATTTAGGGTCTAATGCAAATCTAAACTCTGATAAAAATATCAGCAAAACTATTGACTAGTAAATTGATATGGGAAATTACTCAGTAAAATTTAAATCCCAACCCTATACTTGTGTTCTATTTCCTCAACATAAGCTAAAGGTTCCCTTCACACATATGTGCTAGTCGTTCCCGACTCTTGGGGGTGCTGCTCATCTCCATTTCAAAGCCGAAGAGCCAGCACTGTCTGAAGATGTCTCCATGGTCATGTGGCCAGCATGACTAAATGCCAAAGGCGCATGGAACACTGTTACTTTCCTACCAAAGGTGGTTCCTATTTTACACTTGCATTTTTACATGCTTTCAAATTGCTAGTTTGGCAGAAGCTGGGGAAAGTAATGGGAGATCACTCTATTCTGCTGTGCTAGGGATTCAAACCGCTGAAGTGCTGACTTTTCTGATCGACAAACTTAACGTCTTAGCCATTGAGCCACCTCAATTTAGTGGCAATGAATAATGCCAAAAGACTATTTAAATATGAAAGAAAAAAACTACTTTCCCAGAACAAATTGTTTCTGAGCATGTATAACACCCTTATGCTCACCTTGCCATTTCCTGTCAGAACCCTAGAAAACAAGCTTGCAGGTTTCATTCTTCATTTGCAACTACTGGCATTATTTACATGCTCACAAATTCTTATTGCTTATCTCAACATAACAAATAGAAATATAAGGAAGATAACCCATTTGCACATATTTTTCAAAATTAATAACTTACTTTCTCATGGATTGTCATGCAACTGGCTACATCCTTTTGAATGATTTCTCCAACTCCATTAGAAAGCCTTTCATACTTCAATTTGGGCTCTTCTTCACTGATATCTTCCTGTATTAAGAAACAGCTTAAGAATTTATTTTTTACTTTATTTTATTTGTGTGTGTGTGTGTGTGTGTGTGTGTGTGTGTTGTATTTGTGCTGATAAATAAATAAAGGGAGATTAGTCTCTTTATTTATTTATCAGCACAAATACAACACAAATGTAACAAAGGCAACAGTAAAAATATTGGGTTTCTGTCTGGATGGTCTCTTATGA